CCCAAGGTCTTCCAATTCTGCCTGCTTGGTATTCCAACCCTTCTCAGTACTGGTCATGTCTTCCAGCTCCCTGCTATCAAGTTTCACTACCACACTTCTAATTTGGGGCTAAAAAAATCAGAGAAAGGTAAGTGCCAACAAGGGGAAATGCAGTGAAGAAATGTGAAGAGCCAGCCCAAATGACAAAACTCATCAGTGGCAAAACTGGAACAATACAAATCCCCCAGTTCCTAATCCTGTATTTGTTTTGTCACCTAACACTGCACTTCTGATCAGGTGTGAGGAGGAATTTGCAGGGTCAGAAAGGTGATGTCCATTAATAGCTGACAAAATTGTCCCCTCAGTAGTTTGTGTCAGAAGTCTATAGTATCTATCTAATCTATTGATAACCATCTTCAACATGAATAGTTATGTGTAACTATTTCTCCCCAGTAAGTCTGAGCAACATATACACACAGATGATTACATTTCATGCCTTGCTTCTTAGGCTTGCACAGTCTCAAAGCATCTCCAGGCATAGAATGCATGGGGGTTTTAACATGATAGTCTGAACTGAAACTCTGTAAGCAATAAAATTTAGAGAAACAGCTTAGTTAATGCTCAGAACGTGGTCTGGCAGCCTGCCATGCATAAACATGCACTGAAACCAGAGTTCATGCCAAATTCTTAGCTTTCAACTTCATAGAAATTCCTTGTGTGGTTTATAGTAGATCCTCTTAGTTAATTTAACTTTTTTCTTCCTTTTTGCAGTTTAATCCATAGCTAGTTGAACTTATTACCTCTTTATATATCAACATTAATAATGTAATAGACATAACTCCAAGTAGAAGTAATAGAATTAGTCCGTTCGTATAATTTTGATTAAAGACAGATTTAACACTAAAATGACATTTATTCTGTGCCTTCTGTGCCAAGCCTCTACGAACACAATGAGGTGCTGCAGTGTGACCTGTTACAATAACAGGTATGTCTACCCCTAAACAATAAATGCTTCCTAAAGCTCATAAGAATTCACTTCACATTCAGCTATCAAATCTATTCTGAAGCTCCTCTCAAGCCAAAAGATCCCTCTCAACAGGTTTGATCAAAAGAGTGAGGCCTTCATATTTGGGTTCAGGGTATCAGAAGGTCTAATTTGACTTTCATAATTCAGATGTCTGCTTTTCCAAGCCTCATATCTGCACAAGGCAAATAGCTGGAGGTCCTCTCTAGAGTATGCACCTTGTTTACTTTTTTTCTTTTTCCAGTAATAATTACATTGACTTAGTTTATATTTTATAGAAACTTACTAGTCAGTTACTTAAGTATGTACCAAGCCACATTCAATATATGGATTAGGTGAATAATAAATTCCATATTACCACAGATTCTGAGTTCCTTCCTTTCTTATTTCTTATACAGCTTCAACATACAGTTGTGAGGAAGAAAAAATACTATTATCCCCAGCTATAAAATGCAACTTAAGACACAGTTAAAATATTTTCTTGTATCACACAAAGTCCACGGCAGACAAGATAAAAGGGGTGAAAGCCAGACAGGAATAACAGGCTCAGATTGCACTTTGAACTTATTAATACCATAGAAATTACACCATTATTTATGCTGGGCATATGTAAAATACACAAGATTTTCAACAGCAAATGTTTTACAACAGATCAGTCACATTGGTCTTTATTTACAGCTGTTTGGTTTTATATGGAGAGTTTAATCAACAAATTGTGTTCAAATCACATTAAAAGATTGTGTTGTAAACATTTTACAACACAAATTTGTCTGCTATTTTAGACACATCCCCTGAGGCCTTTGGAAAATGATGACACATTTCACACTATTGAATTCAGTCACGTTTAAAAACTTAACATGATTCTGTTGCTGTAATGCAGATTTCAAATTAGGTGTACTTCTGTGCTCCCTTTTCACAGAAAAGTAGTGACTGCTGAGACAGTAAGCGCAACTACCATGCTGCCTTTGCCCAAAAGAAATATGGATCATACTAAAAAAAAAACAATCAATAGCTTCTCCTCAAATTAGGCCATATTGGCCCATAGCTCAATAAGGCTGACCAACCAATTGATTTTGAAAAGAATAACTGAAAAAGTTAAGAAAAGCTTGATTTAAAATTTTATATTCAATTACACATCATCTGGGTAAGCAACTCACCCAGTACTGCAACATTATGACAGATTTATACGCACATCTGTGAGTGCAGATGTTTGTGCTGATGCACATAAAGTGGCCGCACCCAAATGCATCAAATCTCAGCTCCACACCCTCAGTGCTTCCACCCACCATAGAGAAGGGCACAGTCATGTAAATATTTCTGCAAATATGTTTATATAACATGACATAAATTTCAGAGAGCATCTAAGAGTAACTGTTAATTACTGCTACCTTGCCTCTGCTGATTTACGAGGTACAAAGCAGGGCTTCTGCCCTGGAGTAACTGCAGTGCCAGATCCAAAAAAGTTTTAACTGCAACACCACTTCTGTATTCCAGCCTCCTGAGAGGCCTATGCTGAGAACCTCATGTAGACATGATGTCTATAAAATTAGTTTATTAGTTTGGCAATGAGAGGAAGAGGGAAGATAATTTTCCTAGAAATCAACACTTTTCCATGAAATGCTGGTCTAGTCCATCCACAGCAATTAATACTGTTATGATGCATCTCATCAGGCAGCCTTTTAAGAAATGTTTTAACAAATATTTTAACAATCTATCCCCAACAGCAAAGCCATGAAGCTAGGACCAGATTTCTTCTAACCACATCTCTGCATGCAAGAAGTGTGCTGTCACTGCTACACCTGCTATGCTGGCAGCAACTCTACCTATGCATGTCTTCATCTGCAGACACACAACCTCTCATGGAAGATTACAATCCAGTAAATCAATTTGGTTGAAGACAAATAATTAAAAGCTTAATTACCTATGTAAGCTTTTTATATTTTCTTTTTGGAAAAGGCTTAGTAGGAGAAAATTAGTAGCCTCTGTTAATTTGCTCCATAAAAGGTTTCATGAATAATCACATGTAACACGCTAGTTTTGAAGTAATTAAATAGAACCATTAACACGGCCAGATAGAAAGATACCTAAGCTTTGCATGAACTTTATACTATTTGTTTTTGCTTGGTAGACCACTGGTTAAGGTTGGTTTTACTTTTCCATAGAATGATTCTTCCTATATAAAAGAGTTTTAAGGTTTTATGGGGTTTTTTAGCATTTTCAGAAGGTCTAAAAAAACATTCCTAGCTGGGAAATCTCAAAATATTAGAGGTTTCTTCATGAATATTTTCCACAGAAAGAGGAATAGTTTCTCAGGACTTATGAGACTGTGTCTTGGGAAAGGGGACAAGAAAAGAAGTTGCAAGACTCCAGCTTTAAAAAGAAAAGAAAGAGGGAACTGGAAAAGAAAAATTATATAAAGAGGGAAGCAGAAAACATAAAAATTACATAAATTTAAATAAAACCTTTAAGCCTTGTGATTAACATGGGGCCTCCATTTAGAAGGAGACTGCTGAAAGATTGCTCACTAGAAATCTGTCTCTAGTTAGAAGTGTTTTCAGATTCGTGTGTCAGCTCTTCATTCAATTTACCATTTTCAAATGCTGCTCAATTCTCACGTCAAGTGGGATGTAGAAATTAACGAGTGAAATCCTTAACCTCTGTTCCCCAGAAGACTAAATGAGATATTAACAAAGATTCCCCTGAAGTCTGGTAAAATTAATGTCTACTGTGGAATCCCCTCTTCTGTATGGGAACTCAGCAGTCCCGGTAGGTGGATGTGATCGGTGACTGCACGTGAAGACACACTCCATGACAACTGTTAATTGATACCATTGCTAAGGCCAGACTGTTATGCTGAGATTCCAAGCAGCATTTCTTACACAAAGATGACCAAAACTACAGAAAAACACAAGGAGAATAAGCTAAGCAGAGACACGCCACATTTAACTGCAATACTTGTACTTCCCCTTTGCAAAGTCAGATACAATTTTAGGATCACAGAGACAAAAGCAGAGCATCGAAGTTTGACTTGTTAATATCCTATAAAAGACCAGGATTCCTAAATAAACAAATTCTTACAGAAGGGTACTACCAGAACTGCTAGCTAGCTCCAGCCTTTCCTAGAATCTCACTGTGGCCATGGTGCACAAATCCCAGACAATAAAGAACATTTGACCTCATTGTGCTCATGATCAACATGAACAGTAAAGCTTCCATCACACAGTCTTGGGCAGACTGAAGCAGGGTTTTCTGTGTGTGCTTCAAAAAAAGCTTTTTCAGTGTACAAACAGCAAAAGGAAAAGGAACGACCTAAATGTTACTTTTATTTTTAAAAAGTTTAATTTTCCTTTCTGCTGTCATTGAATTAATACACAATTGTATTCAAACTAAGGGAAGTCTAGAATTTATTTTTAGCTTAAGAAATTCATTTGTTTTATACAGATAACACATGATAATACATCTTGAAGATATCCCTTTTTCCAGACAACAGAGAAAAAAAGAAAAAAAAAAAGAGCCAAAGCACTGCTTCCTCCAACACTACACCAGCCTCAAAGATCTCTACAAGCAGAATTGACAATAAAATCCTTTCCACAAAAACTACAGACGCGAAAAGCTTCACTGTTTACCACCTTGTGGCTTGAACTGGTAAGTATTCCTTCTTACACACACACCATTCCATCATTTTTCAGTTAAACAGACTCTTAAGCAGCAAGCACCGAAACTTCACTCAAAGTTCCTCCCTAGAGGTAAATCGAAGACCAAAGGAACAGTGAGATTGACACGGAGCCCAGGCTGCTCCAATCGACGGGGTAAATCAAGAAAGCCAGGACTGTCTGTCCAGCTCCCAGACAGCTCTGAACATCCTTCACACAGGCAGCAACCGGTTGCCCAAGCTGCAATTCTCTTCTACCCACAGCTCTTCGCAGCCAGCAGCCCCCTGGAAAGGATGCTACGGTCAACAGAACAAGAAACACGCGGTAAAGGGAGATGTACTTACATCCCGAAATTTGTTCCAGTACTTGTCTTTATCATACTGTGAAACGGTGCTCAGCCATTTGTCGTTGTCCAGAAAACTGCCATGATTGCTGTTACTCGTGATGATTTCAGGATGCCGGCTTTCCACTTGCAGGAAGCACCAGGCAGCGATCACCAGCACCCCCGACATCTGCAACGAGAGGAGAGGAGCGGAGCGGAGAGAGGAGCGGAGCGGAGAGAGGAGCGGAGAGAGGAGCGGCGAGGGGCAGCAGCGGCTCCTCGGCCACGGAAGTTTTGAGGGGTCCCAAGCTGGGGCCACTCGCCCCTCACGGCCCTCGCCAACTTCTGGCTGCGGAGCTGCCGGCTCTGCCGAGACCCGCCGCGCCCGCCCAGCCTAGAGGGGCGGGGAACAGCATCAATAACAACAATAATAACAACAACAACAAAACCAAAACGGGCCACTGGGGCCGGGCGGGGAGCAGTCAGGAGACAGCAGCACGGCGGTACGGAACCGCAGCCAAGCCCCCCGCGGGCGCAGCCAGCGCTGGCTCCGCGAAGTTTGGCTGCCAGGGAGGAGAGGAAGCTCCTACCTCCGAGCAGTGCCGCCGGCCGGGGCTCCCAGCACCGTGCGCTGCTTGTCCTCCTGCTGCTGCTGCCGGTGCCGCGGTGCTCTGTGGCTGAGCCCTGCGCGGTGCCGCTGAGCTGTGTGCGGTTCCGCTGCGCCCTGCGCGGTGCTGCCGCGCTCCGTGTCTGTGCTGTGGCGGTGCCGGGGAGCTGTGTGTGTGCGCTGTGGCGGTGCCGCTGTGTGTCTGTCTGTCTGTCTGTCTGTCTGTCAGTCTGCCGGAGCCCGCGCGGAGCCGCTGCCCGTGGCGGGTCCCGAGCCC